ATTCGCATCATCCGTGTCATGAAAAATACCACTCGCAGACAGTTAAACAAGGTTCAAGATGGCTGCTCGATATTAGTCAAGTGGCAGCAGCATTTTAGTTTCTATGCTGCTTCCTTCTATTTGAAGATTTCAGCAACGTAATTTCGTGAACAAAACGAGAGGCAGTTGTAGTTCCATTTATTATGAGAGGTAAGCACTGCTTCGGGGAAAAAAGTCGTCTGTATATCTCGAATTCCCATGATGCAAAGCAAAAAAAAATGGTGGAAACATGTTTACCTGAAATAGAAGGAATGAAAAGCAAGAAAGAAGTAATTGATAAAGAAGGTCGAGTAGAAAATGAATAATTCTAAAGTGTTAATTTTTAAAAAGTAATCCAAATGGGAAAAAGATATCGGCAAATAAAATCGAACACCATCAATAATAGGATCCTCATAATAATTTCCTGTGTGCATTTTCCTGCTACGCTTTCATATATCCTATTATTCTACATGTTGTATATTTCGTATATTATTCAGTAATATTTTTTACCAAAGATCCCAAATCGTCTAAGACTGATAGCATCTGTTACATTCCCATATGTCCATACTGTTCTGTTTATATGGTAATTTTACAGTTCTTTTCATCTTTTTATGTAAATTGTGTTTTTCTATTCAGTCACAGTGAAAGAGTTCTCTAAAGAATTCGTTCCATTTTTCAAATACTTCTTCTTTTTATACTATGAGCGTCCCATTATTAGATTTCGTGCGTTCCATTAATGAACAAGTCTTCTGCCTTATTAATTCTTTTATCAGATTATGCATTTCTTTGTTTCGTAGTTTCTATCTATTCTCGTTGAGCCAAAATTCTTTCACCGACCCTGCATTTGTTTCTAATGATTTTGTTTGGTACGCTATGCATTGTGCCATTTCTTGGTATTGTTTGCTGTCTCTTTTTGATCAACTCAAAAATTTCATAATTTTTTCTTGTCTCCCTTTATTTAGAAGGAACTCGTTCGGCGATCGCACAAGAGCTTCCTTTAATAATATCCAATATGAAATCTTCTCTTCTAACCGCTGATATTTGTCTTTTGTTAGCATACATCACCCTGCAAATTACACCATTCTGAAGTCCGTTGTGATGTCATCTATGCATTGCTTTAGATTTTATTGATTTCCATAATTTTATTCGGGGTTTATATATGACTTCATAGCAGATTGCTTGTACTATCAATATTAAATTGAAATGTAGTTGCATAATTGCTATTATTTATTTCGTTATTCGCAAGAAGCAAATAAGAAATTAAATAATTATCATAAAAATCATTAAACAATGTGGATTTATATTCCAAATTATGTAAGACAAAAAAATTCCACTAATACATTTAGAAAATATAAAAGTTAATAGATAGATAGATAGACAGACAGGCAGACAGACAGTAAGATTGCTTCTCTATGCTTTTCTATAAATACTTTAAGTGTAATTGTTCGGATGGGCTCTTCTCCATGTTTAATTCACCATCCCTTCCCTTGTTAAGTGGTCAGTGATGTTAGTTCACTGGTGGATGCGGGGCGCCTTTCGATTCGCGTGAATGTTTTTCGTATTTGTTGTTGTGTCTGAATGAGTGCATGTCAGTGTGAGTGCTTCGGATGGATGAGTGTTTTATACGATTATAGTCCCGCATTGTTTTCGGCCAGTGAACTGATATTTCTGCCACATTTAGTCATTGTGGTGGTTTTATTACTAATATTTTTTTTTATTTCTTGTAAATTTTTCTTTTATTGTAAATTCTTGGGGCTAAATAGATTTTATTCCCCACAGACAATGAATTGCAAATAGGGAGACTAGTTAGTATTTTCATAGAGACAATGAGGTATTATGGTGATTGTAGGAAGAAAGGTAAGTATGAATGTGTTGTTTTGGTGTAACGAATATTGTTTGTATGATTGTATCAGCGTTTGTTGCTAGCTAAGTTATCGTTAAGACAGAAGAAGACCGTGTTTACACTCAATCTCCCCTTTGGCCTTGTGCCACATTTCTGTACATAACAGAATAAATATTGCTCTTCTCCAGACTGTATGAATTTAAGCACAGTACTAAACTGGCGGTGAGATTTCATCAATTTACAGTTGAGGTGGCTACGTATAGCCGTAACTTGTGGAACTGTCTTCCGGTTCTATGCTTTCCAGCCAACTTTAATCTGCGAACATTTAAATGCAGTGTCAATCGCTATCTGCAGTCCTCGTGATTGCTCTTTTCTCTTTCTTCTCATTAATAATATTTCTATTCTTAATTCCGCCATACCCTGTAAACCTGCGATTCCTAATGGCTATACTGCCTTGCTTCGAGTGATACCGATTAAAAAGTAGATAGATAGATAGATAGATAGATAGAAATGGACTGGGATAGATAGATAGATAGATAGATAGATAGATAGATAGAAAGAAAAGGAATTAATAAATCCGTATTTTGAATTATGATCTGAAACTTTCACTGTATAATGTTCGATCTATGCTATTAATAT